AAATTTGAAAGCTGGATTAATCAGAAAATCTTAGAAAGTATGCTTCAGTTGAACTTCCGCTTTTTTCCCTCCTTGAGTTTTTTAGTGAGATGCTAATTCTCGCTTGTTCGGTTTTGCTGGAAATGAAAAACAATATCTTTACAGACCCTAGTCTTAGCATTCCTGTCAAGAATGGCTTTCTATCAAATTTTGCAACCATAATTTTGTTGAATTCATTTATTCATTTTATTCCTTAGAAAAGATTGGCTATCAAATTTGTATATATGTGTGAAAACTAAGCAATCAAATTAAAGATAAATGCAAAATATCGATTCATCTCAAACGAATTTTAAAATCATAGCAAATTTTACGATCTCAACCATCTGCTGCTTTCTTATCGCCTTTTCGTGAAAGATATAAATTGTTCAGACTTTCAAATCAATCACTTAAATCCATTCGCTTCTTCTGTTTAATGGAGTGTTAAAAAATCGTTTTCATTTTAAATTTCAAATTTTGAGTCTTTTTTTCCACTGAAAAAAAATGCATTGAGTAATTCATTATTCAGCAAATTTCCCACATCTTGTAAATTATGCTTTTTTTTTTTCAACTTAATTACAAAGACAATCTCAGATAAATTATCATCCATAAACTCATCTGGTCCATTCTTACTACCAGATATTTTTCTTAATGTATTAAATCAAGGTATTAATTATTTTAAACATGATTAAAATACATATGAGATGATATATATGAGATGATTATTTTTTAAACATGAAATTACTAAAAAACATTCGTCAAAATATATCGCTAATCCATGTAATCATTGATTTTCATTCCTTCTCGTTCTTTTACAAACTTTAGAAGATAAATTTCACAGGAACAATAAATTGAGCAAAACAATAAAGAAAAATAAAAATAAAAAATAAACTAAAATAAAGAAAAATAAATTAGCTATTGATTATTCAATGATGTTGTTGTTTTGCATTGAAAATTTGCTGATTTAGCGCACTTTCGCTTTCATCCGTTCCACTCACACAAAACGAACGTCCAAAAGCGCATGAATAGTTCTATTTCTTTTTATTTCAAAGACAAAACTTAGAAAAATCATATTTGCACTATTAAAAAAGCCGATAGCATTTTTTTACTTGCAAAATAATTTAATTTAGATACAATTTACTGTTAGCATATCGGCTTTTTTGGTTATTTTATCCAATCTTTCATGTCTGATCCCCAAGTTTGTCAATTATAACATAGCTGTGAGTGATCTTTATTGAATAAGCAAAATGTAAAAATAAAACTAAATTCTATTAATAGGTTAACAGATAGTTGGTATGTAATGCTTATCTTTCTGTTGAAAACTTCAAATAATGATAATATTATAAAATTCGGATTTAAAAACATATTATCTAGTAGATAACGAGCGCAATATGTACAATTAATAGCAGGCAATTAAATATAAATATGCGTCCATTGTACGAGATTGATTTACGGAATTTCTTGCTTATTCACATTCAGCTGATCCATCATTCAATCCATTCTTCTCATTTTATGAATGTTTTAATCTCCCCATTGTTTGCTCCAATTCCATTCAATCAACAGCTGTCACATATGTCAACAAACTCCCAATTCTTTTTATCTTATAATTCAAATAAAGAATTTCATTTCTTTTTCTTTTTTTTTGCAGTTCATCAGATATTAATTATTCATCAGATTTTTCAAGAAATTTAGCGCTTCGAATAATAAATGATAAATTTCCACAATTTTACTGTCAGAAGCGCAGTATGGACCGCCAATAAGCCCAGGTAATCTATGTATTACGATAGCTCATTTACCGATTTTCATAGGTGAATTAAAAAAAATTTTTTTTAATTGAAAATTTTTAAAAAAATTTTTTTATTTAATGCGTATTTAGAAAAAAAGTTTCTTTAACAAATTTTTTTTAATACAAAATCGATAAATGTATTAAATTTTTTAATTCCTTATCGATATTATTAGCAAAGAATGTAGAAGTAATTTAGGTTATCGCAATGGTACCCAATTTTGAGCTGATCTTAAACTTTGAAAGAAGCTTTTGCAATGTTCATTTTGATTCTTTGATAAATTTAAATTAAAAATTGTAAATTCTTAAGATGAGATTCGAGATTGAGAGAATATACGTTAAACTGCTTCCATTTCATAAATGCAAACACACCGAGGGCGTAGAGAGGTATGACGTTTCTGTGTCGTTCACCATGCAACTCATATGTGATGATGAATATCATGGAAATGAAACAGCAATTTTCAACCATTTCTTTTTTTTTTTTAAAATCTTTTATTCTTCACTCATCTAAATAATCACTGCCTACAAAATTCACAACATCAATTCCAAACATATTTTTCATTTGATGAGCAATCTTAGCAGTGAACAATGCTTTCTTAGCAAAGCCAAAGGCCAAAGATTGACAAAGATGGGAGAAAGATTAAGCGAGATTAAAAATATTACGAATTGAGCTTGCATACAAAATATGCAGATATTATTAGAATAAAAGAGACTATCAGGGAATGAGAAGAGCTCGTAATAATATATCCCAGAGATTGAGAAAATTCTCACAGTACCATAGAGGCGGAATGACCTTTATTATTTCGGAATTCAAAATGATCACCTGGGTTCGTGCTCGGCTAGCGACAAACATCGAGAATTTTGTTACTGATATTTGTGAAGTAGAGAGCTTGTAAACCTTTATTGATAACAGTAGGAATACTGATAACAATAATGATAATAATAATATTATTCTGGTGTCACAATTTCACATAATTATGTCCTCTCAAATCTGTCCATGTTCTGAAAAAAAATTCATCTGTTCTACTTCGGGAAGCAATTGTCTGGGGATACATGTGTTGGCTCAGAATGAAAGTTGTATTGAGGATTTTTGTCACTTTAGAATTTTTTGACGGTTTTTTTCAGCAAAAAATGAAAACTAGAAGTGTAGATGAAAGCTGGAAGTATGGATTTCAGATTGGAAAATACGAAATGAAGCAAAAAAGTATGATAATGTCTGATGTATGCTGAGATCTTATTTATGCAGTGCTGCTGCTATCGATTGGCAGTAGTTCGAGGTAGTATTATCATCATTTGTGATTTTATTTACGTGATAGAAACACCATCCATGGCTGATGAAGATTCTATCATTACGTACGACAAAGATGATACTCTGAAAAATGCTGAAGATGATGCAACAGTTATGTCGGTTGAAGATAATATTGGTTGTGTTTATGGTAAATTGGTTTTGCTTGGGTAAGTGTTTTCTATTTCTTTTTAGCGTCAAGCAAACTTGGAAAGCACTAATACATACATCTTATCGGTATCTTACTATGATCCTATTGTAAACATCTTCGTTTGGAGTAGATTAAGCTAGATTAAGCTTCTTTAGTTGACGTCACAAATTTCGTTTATAAATCTCCGCAACAAGGCGATGTGGTGCTCCAAATAACTGAAATGAAGAGTCCTGGCGGCTCTAATATTGATTTCATGTAGTAAAAATTCTAATTTTATTTTCTTGAAACCGCAAAAATTCTACAAAGAATCTTTGACTTGATAATCATGTTACATTTAAAACTGGTCATTTTCATGTGGATTCTTTTTTCATAGGAAATTCTGTTTTGCTGCTTGCATAACAAATAGTGAAAGTGAGGTAGATAGTTTCAAGGGCCCAGATTTCAGTCATCTTATCGATAATAAATTATTTGTATTTCTTTCTCTAGTTATAATGGGACGCTTGAAAGCAGTAGTACTTATGCTCAAGGCCGTAAGCATCGCTCAAAAATGATACTGCGTAAACGACTGACGGGTAACGGTATTAAAAAGGATCAAAGCAGTTCAGTTAGCATACCGCCATCACAAACTCAGGTATCATGTTTGATTATTTTTAAATCACCGGTTTCTATTATTGAGGAAAGTTTTGTTTATTATAAAAAATGAAAATATTTCATGGGTTTTTATAAATTTCATTCTTTATACCATTTAATCTTACTAATTTATAAATTAAAATTCTTCCAGGTAGTGCGCGATGCTTCACGACATGTTGTATCATATTCTTATAACCGCAATCATACAGTTCTTGTAGAATATAGCCCTGATCCTTATAAGGATATGTTTCAGGTGATTTTTTAATCTCAAGTATTTCTTTTTTCTTTTTCAAACAAGTGAATAGTAACTTGATTCTGGTTTTAGATTCCGCTATTTCGATGATAATTCTTTTTGTAAGCAAAAATATCACACTCTATTTATACTCCATGAACTTTTTGTCAGATGGTAGTGAAAGAAAAAGAGACCTATAACAATGAAATTTGAAATATCTATCTCTCCTTTCAGATTGGTCGCTCTTCTGAAGAACAAATAGATTTTACTGTTGTGGATACATGGCTTGTTGCAAATGCTCTTCATCCAGGTTCTTTTTTATTCAGCACTATTTGTTGCAAGCTGAGTTACGAGTCATTATCACAAGGAAATTCTCTTGTTTTTCCTTAATCTTAACAAAAGAGCAGGTGGCATGTCATTAATTATACAAAAAATTTAAAAGGAGAATGATTTGAGGTGTTCATAGTGAACAAGGATCCGAGAATGGTGTGACTGATGCGTATGGACTTGAAAGAGATCGAAGTTATAACATCCAGCGACCAATATCGTCAACTATCAGTCGTTACGCTTGTCGGATACAAATTAACCGTGACTATCCTCACCGAGCTTTTTTGTATGCGGCTGGGTTTGACAGTTCCAGGAACATTTTCCTCGGAGTATATTTTCTTTTTGTTCCATATTTTCAAAAATCTAATCAGGAATTCTTTCCTTCATTTTAGCTTTTCGAGGATCCGTTACTGTCTACTATAATTAATTTTATGCTCTAATTGAATGACTAGCTTGTATGTTCTTCATTAATGACCTTTATTTCTAAATATCGCCATGTACTTTCATTTTATGAGTGATCATTTCTTTAGAAACTAATTCGGCTGGATACCCAGCTTGAATTTAATTGCTTTCTTGTAATTTTCATAATTTATATCAACAAATTACAGGAAAAGGCAACGAAGTGGACGAAATGTGATGGCGAAATTGATGGTCTTACAACGAACGGTATTCTTATTTTGCATCCAAATATTATGCAAAAACAGGTACGACGACTTCTTGCCTTATTATAGTAATTTCGAAAAATCTAACTAGACAGTTACTAATTGGATTTTGGTGCTAAAAAATGTGCATTATCGGATGTTATAAAGTTTTTGTTGCTGAGATTAGCAAATTTTCTATTTTATTTTACAGAGAAACCAATCAAAGGTAGAATTATTTTGGGTTTAACTCTTTATTGATCCAGGAGGACACATGAAAAATTTTGAGTGAAACATATTCTATTAAAAAATGATGCAGCTGATAAATCAACTTAGGAAAATTAAATTTATGATTTCAATCCACTTCTCACTTCAAGTTGACCAAATTTTAATTTGGGAATGCTTTCAATTCTTCAATATTTTCGGTGAATGAAAGGCAATATGTCGTTCTCTTTTTCGTTTTGATCTCTATACATTCATTTTTAACTTCAGAAGATCTTCTATATCATTCCTATTTATCGAATGTCTGGTGATAGCGTGTTTCATGTCCTTTCATCTGCATGCTTGGTGAATTTGTTTAATGAAGTTTAAAAAAAATGATTCAGAATTTTGGTCAAAATATAGAAGAGGGAATGTTTGTATGGCGTGAAGTTTCTGTCGATGGTGACATCTACAATATAAGGGAAACGCGATCTTCGACGAAAAGAGGAGAGTTGTTGGCGGGTGAATCCAATGAATTACAGGTATATCAAGCTGTAAATTAAAATGTAGGTGTTCTCGAACCTCATGAGTTAAATTTATCAAACTTCTGACCATTAGATAAGAATATTGAAATTATTAAAAAGAAATTTCGGATATTTGGCTTGCAGGATGGGACTTTGATTGATCTCTGTGGTGCTACACTTTTATGGAGGACAGCTGAGGGCTTATCGAAAAGTCCGTGTAGAAGTGAGCTTGAATCAAGGTATGTTTATGCATGAGGGTATATCTTTGTAAATTCAATTCGAACTAAATTTTAAGTAATTTTTTACTTTTTATGTGGATTTTCAGACTGAATGAAATCAATGCTGGAAAGCCACAATGTCCAGTAAATCTTAATACTCTCATTATTCCAAGGAAAAAGTCAGCGAAAACTCATGGCTCTTCCAGGCAACCATACGTATGTCTTGTTTTTATAATTTTTCTTTTTTTCTTTTATTAATTTTTGATAAAAATACATTCTCCAATATTTACCAGTAGGAACTTCCAACATCTTACAGCAATTTGTTTTCAGTTCAAGCATTCAACTACATGAATACATTCGTGTTGTAAATCGTTTCAGAATAGAGATTTGCTTAATGTTGTGAATAAATAATTATTCACTTTTAGGTCTATCTTAATTGTGGCCATGTACAAGGAAAACACGCATGGGGCAAAAACGACAAAAGTGACAGCGGGACTTTGTACAAATGTCCCATATGTTTGGTAGATTCATCTAAAATAATTCAGTTAGTTATGGGAATGGAATCAGCATTTCATCTTGATTCAGATGCATTGGACTATGCTTTCAATCCCTGTGGACATGTTGCTTCACTATCCACTGTAAGGTGAGTCCAAATTTCCGTCAATTTTAATCATTAATACATCAAGCAGCTTCCATAATGCATTTATTATAGTCACAAAATATTTTATTACTTCCTGCAGGGAGAAGCATTTCAGTTTCATGAGTATTAGTCCGTGAAATATATTTATTAGTTATTTAATTAACTGAGCGAAAAGTGTACATCTTGTCGAATTCCATTGTAAATGCAAACAATAGTGGTAAGTTATGTGCCACAGTCGTAAGCAATTTTTTGCAGGTATTGGTCTCGCATTCCATTACCACATGGCACAAGCAATTTTCATCCGGTATGTCCATTTTGTACATCACTGTTGTCAATGGATAAACCATATGTTAGGCTTATTTTCCAGGACCACTGCTCTGATTCATAATTTTTGAATACATGAATGACTTGTGGTGTTTAAGTCTCCAATATTTCTATATATAGTTCTTTTTATTCGATTTCTTTTCTTCATAACTGATAGCCTCAGTGATCGAGGCATAATTATTCGAGTTTTAAAACTTTATTGCGATTGAGGTTTTGTATTTTCAAGCATGAGACGGATAAGCAGAACATTCCTCATGCTCATCTAGTACTCTTGCGTTATTTTACTTTTTTTTACTAATGTTGAACTGCATATTTGTTTAATCATTTAATGGAAAATTATATTTTGTTTTATGAAATGCGTTTTGTGTTTTATCTAGTTGTGGATATACTGCATCAGGAGAAATTGTTCATGATACATATTTGTTATATATTTTTAATCCACTTCTTTTTCTTTTTATCTGATTTATGAAGTTCTAAATTTGAAAGTAGATATTTGGAAGAAAATGCTGATTTACTGATGGTTTGGAGAAGTCGTGGTCATCATCGGACCAAATTAGTGCTGAGTTGATAGATAAATTGTTCTTCATTCATTGTTTAAGTGGAGGAAGTTTGGCTTTTTACTGTTAACAGTTAATGATGAAGAAAGAATAGTTAAAATCAAATTTTGCCTCTTTTTTATACACTTTTGCCATTTGTCACTTTTTTCTTCTCACTCTTTCTCCAACGATCAAATATAACTTGCATTTTCTAGCATTTATTTTGCTGTACAAATTATTTTGCATTTATTTTTGGCAGAGTTTAAATTTTTATCTTGTTTGTAAATAGTGAAATCGAACATGAATTAGGTTTCGATTAAAAGATTTTTTTTTAATTTCAATCATTTGTTACAAGTTAAAGTAAATCTTATTTTGGGTGTTATTGCTCAGTTTTCAATTTCAAGCATTTTATAAAAGTTGCATGGTGCCTTTTTTGTTTGATTGATTTCAATAAATTTATTTAAAATACCGGAAATTAACGATATTCGATATAGTTTCGAGATCACAATAATTTTATAAACAGTTCGACAATAATCGATATCTTCTTCAAGTAACAGTAATGGGAAGAATTACCGAATGAGGATAGAAAAGAGATAAAAGAAAAAATAAAGCGGAAAAAATGGTGGCTTGTTCAATAATTCTCATGTGGAACTCATGGGTATCTCGGATTGCCATTTTATTTTGGAATCGAAAGAACAGAAATTTAATCATCGTTATATCGGGGACTATTGAAAGATGCTTTTTGCTATTATTACCGTTTCAGCTTTCCAGTGTTATTATCTCTTATCCCAGCGAAGGATACTTCTGCGCATCCTGGAAATTCATAAAAACTTCTCAGCCAATTCCTATAAACAAATTCTAATGTTGGGATTTTATAGTTCTGGTGACATACTAACTGCTATAAGTGTTGTTGATTGATAGCACAGCTTCTCTTCAACTGAAATTTCTCTTTCATTGTTCAGTAGTTCTTGGATGAAATTTGTCGTCGTGTAGGAATTGAGCAATGGAAATAACGAAGTCGTTGCGAAAATTATTATTGAGTACGCAAGGCGTGCAGCATATATTCATCACCGATAAGGAAGGTATACCGATTATCGGTGTGAATGAGTCAGGCGGTATGATTTTTACTTTTCGATTTATCTAACTTTATTTTGCAGTTTGTTAGCTAATTTAAATATTTTACAACACTTCCTTGTAATACAATTTTTCTCATTCCTTTCTTTAACGATTCACTGCTGATAAACATTTTTTAACGGTTTACCTCTGATGAAATTGCTTGATCCTGCCATTTTTATAGAGTATTTTACGACCATATTATTTCTCTCTGTATCATTGGACAATGTATCACATCCTACTGGAATATTATATTTCATGAGTTCCTGAAATTTTCTTACTTTAATTTAATTAGTTTGGAAGTCATAACTTTATAGAAGAAGATTTGCGAAATCGAATGCAACTTATCAATAGTAATCAGATCACATTGGAACAGATACCCAAATTAAATCTTGGCGAACAAAAGTCGGCAATTTTTTGGTACACATTTTATTCTTGTGTAGTAAGTTACTTGAATAGGATATTCGGTTTTTTATTAATGATTAATAAGTTATTAATAATAAGTTAGCCTTTCCAATTTGCTAAAAAATACCAAATTGGAAGAATTAAACTTCTTTATGTTATGAGTTGTTTCATTTTTAAAAACAAATTTTGGGTCATTTATTTTTTAAGGACCTTTTTCATTATTTTCGCCAATATTTCTGATTCATTTTTATTTGCCAGTAACTTTATCATTTAATGAATATTATGACTTATTTTACATTTACAGTTATGAATCGACAACTCTAGTAATCCTCCAAATTAGCTCGCTCTTTGCAATCATTATTGCAAGTTCTGAAGTTTCCATTGGTACACTACGAAACCTCAGGCATCCACTCAAACCGATTATTACCGAAATTGCAAGCGCAGCTGGGTTATATTGATCCCAGTATATTTATTTTTTTAATAGAATGCATTTATAATTTTATACTCTGTTTTAAATTCAAAATAAGTTGCTATCCATAGAGTGTTAAGATTTTAAAGTTTTCGGTGTTATGTTTTGCAATTACTTGTTTTTACGATGACTAAATTTTCAACACATATTGTGGATGTGTAAGGTGAAAATGATGTAGCGGGTCTTCTGAAGTTAAAAATGAGTGTAGAGAAATCAAAACGAGAAAGCGAACGACATATTGCCTTTCATTTACCGAAAATATTACAGAATTGCAAGCATTCCCAAATTAAAGTTTGGTTAACTTGAAGTGAGAAGTGGGTTGAAATCATAAGTTTAATTTTCCTAAGCTGATTTATCAGCTGCATTATTTTTTAATTGAATATGTTTCACTTAAAATTTTTCATGTGTTCTGAATCAGTAAAAGGCTAAACCAAAAATAATTCTACCTTCGATTGGTTTCTCTGCAAAATAAAATAAAAAGTTTGCTAATTTCAGCAACGAAAACTTTATAACATCCGAGAATGTGCATTTTTTGGCACCGAAATCCAATCAGGAATTGTTTAGTTAGATTTTTCTTTACTTGTAGTAAGATAGAACTGTTTATGCATAGTATTTGAATGAAAAATAAATTATGAAAATTACAAGAAAGGTAATTCAGTTCAAGCCAGCTATACGATACTATTAATTTCTAAAGAAAAAGTGGCTAATTTCAACAAACAGCTATTATTTCGTGATGATTCCGTGTAATGAGGGAATCATTATTTTCATTTCTAACACTGAATTTTAATTCAACTTCTGATCATCAACTTTTGATAATGAAATTTAACATTTTGGTACTGTAAGCAAAGAAGCAAAGTGATAAGTCAGGGATAAGAAATGATGAGAAAAAATGATGAATTGGTGTTATGCTAATTATATCAGTGCTTTATTTGTTATCCTAATTAGTAATTCTAAATTTAGTCTGAAGATTCCCGCAGTTGCGAGCTATAAGGCGAAAAGTTTAATTACTAATTAGAATGATGCGAAAAGTTTAATTACTAATTAGAATGATGCGAAAAGTTGCTAGAATGTCACATACTGGAAAGAATCATAGCGATATCATAACTTCTTCATTTAGTGATTCCATTCATTTATATTGTTTTCCATTCTTTTGCAATCGATATTACTGCTATAAATATACATAATTTGCACATTATTTAGCTTTAAATATTTCATTCTAATTAAAATAGATCCCTAATTAAGATAATAAATTGGAAATAGAAATGAGAATTGGTATGCAAATAAATGCGTACTTGAACTAGGCATTCCATGTGGGACCTCATAGTTTGCAATAATATTGTGGGAGAAATTGTGCTATCACATTAAAAATAGCACCAATTGCACGATTAATACTCTTGATAGTTTCCACTTTAAATTATGACTTAGCTAATATCATCAAATTATCAATAAAAGTGTTTTTTTTTTCTCTCATGCCTCTTTCATAGGCTATTTTTGGCACTGATAAAAACTTAAAATAATTTTTCAAATTTCACAGATTAAAATTTTTGTTCATATATATATTAGAAATTTTGCATTTGTTACTTTATTTTAATACTGAATGACTTATCATGCATCTCTCTTACACCTGACACATTGCTGAAAATGTGTCAGTAATGTGATAGATGGAATAACGCCATGATGAGACATGCATGTTGCACTTGTACTGACTGACCTGTCATCATAAATTTACACTCGAGAATTTGAGGGAAGGAATGGGATTAGGGTCAGGCAGGGGTGTTTTAGATTATTGATTCGCTGTAATAATTTGACTCATTTGACTAAGTTTGCTATTTCAGGTAAAATGACTTACACGACAACTGCGCCATCCCAACAAAATTCCAGCGAGAATAATGAATTTTGCAAATTAGTAAGTCATTTTTTTCCAGTAATGCAATTCATTTCTAATTCTCCTTAAATTATACGTTTAAAATCTTAATGATTCAACAATTTTAAATATGTTCGTGTAATTTCTTATCATTTAAGATTTGATTTTAGTAGTGAAGATTAAAACATTGGAAACATTTTTTATTTATTCATCTGCTGATTCTTCTCCAATATTGTGTTCTATGTTTGATGAAAAATTTTTTTATAAAATTGATTTGTAAACAAATCTTTATATTACGGAAATTTTATTTAAACTGAAATTATTTAGATAGAAAATGACGAAGGATTTCGTTTGGGACATTTGAGACTTTACAAAGCAGAATTATTGGAAGCAGTTGACAATGTGGAAAAGTTGAAGCAATTTCAGCAGTTTTTCGGTAACGGTGACCTTCAAAATGCTGTTGAAATATAGCTAGAATCATGACTTTATCGATTTAATTCCCAAGTTTTCTCCGAATGTTTAGCTAATTTCCTAATGATGGTGATTTTACTGTAGTAGCTACTTAGTTGTTATGATTTTTAGTTTTCATCAAAACTTTCACTAATTTTACAGCGGATTTCTCATACTTTTCCTGTTATTTCTTACAATTATTCTTTTTACTATTAAATACCAATTAAGCTTTCAAATATCAGTTAAGTTCTTGATCCTGCTTTAGTATGCTATTTTGGTTGAATCAGTTACTTGAGAAATCTGTTATAAGATTAATTATGTTTCAGATGATTCGAAATATTTTACTCGGCTTTTGGATTTATACAAGAATAGTTCCACTAGAAAAATTGCGCTAAATAATTTCTGGCGTCGGATTTGCTTTAATTGTCAGGCCATGGATCACATATTATCTCTAGCTGTTAAAGGTATTGATATTATAGTATGCCAGAATTGTTTTAGACATTAAGCATTGGGAACTCCTTATTCATATCACATATATATCTGAAATTATAAACATTATTTTTTCCTGTGAGACTTATAGTTCAAATATTTTTTTTAATCTACACTAGTGTACTGGTTGAATGCCGTTTTTATTCCTTGGAAAATAGCTATAATAAAAAATCGTGAAAGCTCGTGAAAACTTTGAAAGGACTAAAAGAACTGAAGTGAAATGTTTGCAAAACTTTATTTAGATAAATTAAAGAGATGGAATTGCCAGGTTTTGTGATCATGTAATTTACTGTCCCGTTCTAAATCAAATCATTTCAAATCTCTTTTTTTTGAATTCGGCTTTTATTTTAAGACATATGACTGTCGATTGGTTTCTCATCGTCCTTTTTCTTGCAGAGAACAGAAAGCTGCTTGATTCGATTTACGAAAATATATCAGCGAAATCATTGGAATATTACCGTAAAATGTTCCATGAAGATACGAAAGGAATGGATAAAATTACAATGACAGTTGAACCGCTATCGATTTGTGATGGGTTAAAGGGTGTAGGTTATGAGTCTATTAAGAATGTCGTACGAAAAATGATGGAAACCAAAAGTATGGAATTCATATTTTTATTTCGTTTTAAAATTATTAATTAAACTAAAATTTTTCCATTATTTTTTCTGCATAACATCACTACTTTTCATTTTAAATAATTTCAATTCTATAATGAAAAAACAAATTTTTTTCCGAAGCGCGTGTTTTATTTTCATTTTTATTTTACTGCACTTAAAAAAAACTTAGAATATGAAGAAGCGGCATGTTATCTGATGAGGAATCTTCCTAAAATGAAAAATTTGGCAAGTGAACCATCCAGCTGGTATTTCGATTTCTTAAATGCTTGCTGTATTGATAGTGCTAACCGTTCAATACCCGAATTTATTGATCCTGACTACAAAGCCCACTTGGGTGAGTTTCTAAAATAAGTTTGCATCAAATAATAAAGTGACGTAATCATTTTCATGTTATTTAGTTGTTTAAAATGCTTATGTGAATATTTACTGAACTGTTTTGAGTTTTTGCTTTGGTGTTTATTTTAAACAAACACGTTTCAGATGCCTACAATGAGCAGTGTCAAATCTTGAACATATCTCAAAATAAATTGAGTCTTCAAAATGGATTACCGAATATTATGGAAGAGCTGGAAGAACCAGAAAAACCGGAAAATCGCACTCAAGAACATTACAAGAAATATCGGATGAAAGCATTTAGTGTGTCCTTTGCAATTTGCTCACCGAATGAAATTGTTTACTAGAAAGTAACAAGTTCTACTGTTAAGTTTAAATTATATTTAAACTTAATGATAGAACTTGTTTCTTTTTTTCGGGAGCTGATCGATGTAGCATCTGTTGGTACCGTTATTTTATAGTATAATGCAATAAAAAGAATGGTTATATTTCAGGTGATGAAAAGTTGGAGAGTGTGGAGGATGCAGAATCAATTGAATTGCGACTATACCAACAAGAACTGGTCGAAACAGCATGTCGAGGAGTGAATACAATCATTTGTGCTCCAACTGGTTCAGGAAAAACTGTCGTAGCTGCACACATTATCCTAGAACATTTTCGAGCTAGGAACATTAAAAATAAACCGTCCAGGGTTTGTTTTTGTTGTTTTTGTTATTTAGAGAAATTTTGTTCAATTTTCACTTGTGTCGAACAGAGTCACGTCACGATGCTGAATCATATTGGCTTAACTTTATCAACACAATTTACATGTTCTGAAAGCTTTAGAAAGACTTAGAATTATATGTCGTATGCTAGCTGAGTTCAGACAAAAATCGGTAGCAGATTGGTTAAAAGTTGATGTTTAACATCATGATTTTGGTACACATAAGTTTCTCAAATACTCATTTGTTCAGTTGATTGGTATTTGCGTATTATTCATGTGTTGGAAGATTCATTGGTTAAATGATTTGAAGTTTTAAAATTATAGTTATTTTAGGTTGCAATGCTTGTGCCAACAATTCCACTTGTAGAACAACAGTGTATAATGTTGAATCGTTATTTGCGAAAAACGTTCTGGGTCGATGGTATGAGTGGAAGTGAACCAGTCAGTGAAAGTGGACGTGCTCCAAATGTTTTAGCAAGTCATGTGACCATCTTCACACCGCAAATTTTCATGTAGATATCATCAGTTTTTTATCATTTATTATTGGCATTCGCGAATGGACATAACCGACTTCAAAGCAATTACATGCAAAAAGTTCTATTGATGGTGGTTGGGGCAAAAAATTTAATGCAATGACTTTATAATTCTTTGATTGATCTCAATTTTTTAGAAATTTGTTGAAAAGTATACGTCGTGATGATCGTTTATACTTCACCGATTTCTCGATGTTCATATTTGATGAATGCCATCATTGCGACGGAGACCATCCATATAATGGCAATTTTTATTAATTTAGATTTTCTCAACATTTTTATTAACATTTCTATTCATTTTTTCAAAAACTTTAGTTAGATTATTATATTAGAGAATGTTTCGTAATTAATAAGAAACAGCATATATCTTCATATTGGTGTTATTATACTGATGTTGTATCAGGAATGAGCATTTGTAAGAGAAATGAACCAGTTTCCTTTTGAAAATTTTGTGGAGTGTAAAATGAGCATAAATTTGGGAATTAAAGTTTCTTTTTTTCAGTTCTAATGCGAATGTTGCACAGATTTGATGGCCCAAAGCCACAAATTATTGGTCTGACTGCTTCGCTACCACTTGGTGCTGGCCGTGCAAATGTTGAAGCAGCACTTGATGTATGTTTTTTTATCTGATGAAAATCATTTGACTGTAGTATTATGGAACTATAGAAATAACTCAGTAGTTTTTTTTTCACCCTTAGATTTTTTGGAATTTTGATTTTGATCTTTGAAAATTCAGTATTCATCATATTATAGCATATGGTGGATTTGTGTGCCAAACTCTCTGCTCATTCCATTAGTACAGTTCGGAAACATGTAGAAAATCTTCGTTATTATGTACAGCCACCTGTAGATGGTTCGTTTCTTTGACAGTTATGGAGATATATATATTAAAATTTAACCAAATTTAATGATCTAATGGGTAATGAAAGTTTGTAAAGTCCCGCAAGACTAAAAAAAGCGCTTCCAACGTCTTTCTTATTTCTTTTTCAGACATAAGACGCGCTCATCGATCTGATATGGACAGTTTCTCTCAATCATTATTAATCTGTATGAGAAAAATTGAATCGGTTGTAAAGCCGGAACTTGAAAAACTAATCGAAAATAAAATTATTGATTTTAAAGTGGTTTGTAACAACTTTGATTTTTCTTCTGTTCTCCATGCTTTTAAATGTGAATGTTTTGCTGATCTTGTACCATCCGCTGCTATGATTACCATTGCTTGCAAATGAAATTTCAGTGGAAAATGCAACACAGTTTTATATATGATCTCTGTGTAGATTACAAGTAATTTTTCGATGAGCATATTTAGCAAATTTTAAAAATTCAAAATATATTACAAACTATAGATTCATGCTATCAGTCATTTATATCTTTGCATAACTTGTAGAGACTTCAAAAAGAAAAACGTTGGAAACTTTTTGTATAAAAGAATGGAGGGGAAATATGCACATATTTTTCTATAAAAAGGATAAACATTTAAGGTAGGTAGAATTATATCTTAATTTGATGATGTACCATATTCCTTTCATTTCGTCCAGCTTCTCCTTGCTGATTTCAGGAGGAAACTGCATTTCCGGCACACCGCAACTCACCGCGTTACGAGAGCTTTATTGGAAGTTTAAAAAATCGTTTAATGGAATTATCTGGTGATAAACTGAAGCATCAATTGATTAAACTGCTTGAACATCTCGGGGTTGGCATTTTTATTCATCAAACATTTCAGCTAAACATGGTAAAAATCGTAGAACGTTGTTGCAACATTTTCTAGAAATAAGCTTACGCTGTCTGTTTTGATATCTATTTATGACTTTTTTATCTTATTATTCACTAGTGCGTTTTGTGTTTCAGTATTATTATCGCGCTCTCTGCCTGAGTGATTTGCTGCCGAGTTGGTATGCTTGCAGATATTTGCATGAAAATATAATAAAAGCTTTTCCCGATGCAGGTAATGGTACAACGATTCAGAATCAGTTGGGAAAGCTTTTTGAAAGTATGTAACTGTTAGTACTGGTTTTATCATGACACTGAATTAACATTCTGTTATCCATTATAACTAACACTGCTTTATTCGTTTCCCCCATATTTTTCTTTTACTTTCATTTGTGAAATATCATAAAGGTTAGAAAAAAAGAACTTTATCTTCACGTTATTTTCATGGTTTGGTTTTTCTTAAGTCATTGTGCAGATTCTCATTTCAAAGCTTTTCATAGATTACTTTTATAATAAAGAGTAAAACGGCAAAGAGGTGAATGAAAGCAGATCTTTTGTTTTTTTCTTCAGATCTTTCTGTACTTCTTTCAGAATTTATGAAACCGTATACATTAAATTTCAAAGAAAGTGACATGGGTGAAGAAAAAGAAATCTTGAAAATGTTACACACTATTTTGCGTGAACAGTATGTTTTGGATCCAACATCCAGAACGATAATCTTTGTGACGACACGCCAATTGGCCCAATATCTGTCGCATCATTTGAACACTGTCAAAATTGTCGATGGAACAAGTCGTGCAGTCGGATTCGTTACTAGTAATGCCATATTGCTTTTTTAGAAGACAAATATTTATTTTTGCTTTGCAAAACAATATGGAAATGAAAAACTTGTCGTTTCTAGTTACATAAATGAAATTACTTCCGATGAAATAGTTTTTCCTTCTGTTTGAAGTAAGTAAAGCATGACTAATTAGGTACTAAAAGAAAATAGTAGCGTAAAGTGATATGAGAATAATGATGTGTTATATGAAAATGGTAGTAAATGACATGAAATTATATGGCTTACATTTGTTTAGGTTCAAATCGATCATATGCTGTGAATGGTCAGACTGCTGAAGAGCAGCGAACTGTAATTGAAAGTTTCAATCAGGGTACTTTGAAGGTTTTAGTAGCAACATCAGTTGCTGAAGAAGGTTTGGACATTTCTGCATGTAATCTAATCATCAAATACAACAATACAGGTTCTGAGAGGTCATTGATTCAGAGAAGGGGTAAGTTAATCGTGCAGTTTTTGAACTTCGGTGTATTTAACTTTGATTTCAAATCTTGAAATACACATTTGCTAAGGAGGAGTTGTGGCCATCTGAAAAGTTTTGTTAAAAAAATTTTTTAGATTGATGATTCTCTCATATCAGGATTTGTGATTCTTACAGAATTGTCAAGCATTATAGGTCGAGCTCGGGCGAAGCATAGTAAATCAATCTTGCTAGCGTTAGATGGTTCTATAGAAGAGAAGGAATTAGAAAACATTCAAAAAGAACATTTAATGAGACGTTGCCTACAACATATGCAAACAAAGTCGGAAAACCAAATGAAGCAGTTGGTAGGTTGCTAATCAAAATAATCACTGCAATTTAATTTCGGGATTACTCCCATCTACTCCTGAGAAAATCTTTTTATGGTTTAGTTTTAATAAGGCTGTGTAATTCTTTCTCGATGTCTTGATTTGGCTATTGTTGCTGTACAATTTTTTTCCCTTGGTTTTGTTAATAAATGTGAATTGGATTGAAAATGTTGACTATAATAGTTTTAAAAAGGATCGAAGAAACTTTAGTATTTTAAAAAAAATGAAAGGAATTTCATATTCTGAGTTCAAAAGATTCGAGACCTTCGTTTAATTTTCTAAATTTTATAACAGCTCAAAGTAAAAATTTTTGGTTTGATGCTGATTTTCTTTAATGCAGCAAGGCGTTCGTAAATATGCCTTTTTGCATGGAAATGTTTTTGATGGTCAATTTCAAATCATATCCATTTTAGGTAGAAGCAAAACTTAAACAAATGAAAGCCCTTTATGAGGCAAATTTGGTGCGAGAGAATGAGAGAAAACGTTCGCTTGAAGGAAAATGGTTATTTTTTCTAATAATATATCATTCGTGCAAAAATCCAATGAATTTTTAAAACTGAAAATTGAAGTTACTAATTCATTGGGAAGATTTCAAGTTACATTTAATGAATTCAGAACTTGACGTCGTTGTCCTTAACTTGAAATTAAAGAATGTTTTCTTTCAAAATAGAATTGTTTAAAATTAATTATGGTATTGCAGTTATGATTTGAAATGCCGTCTCTGTGGTGCGTTTATATGTAAAAGTAGTAGTATGCGCATTGCGTGTGATAGTCAGTATGTTTGCTGCGACCCAACAATTTGGGAACGGATTGATGCACGAGTTCACAGTGTAAAGGTAGGCTTATTTAGCAGAAGTTTCAAACTTATGAAAGGATAGATTTTTTTTGATTTGTTAATACAAGCAATTGAGCATAAATTTCAACATTATATTCTCTACTTTTATCCGTTTTGTTCACATCATATGCAACCTTCGAAAACCTATCAGAATGCTCATTATTATTTAGTTCGCTTCCTTATCCCACTTTTTAACCCATTAGTGTCATTTGTGCGTACAAGATATTGAATAACAGTAATTTACTTCCGTTCTCACACAGACTTCACGCATAAGACACCACTCGCCTCATCTTTCTGGTGAGATTTATTTATTAATTTGAATACTTTTGTAACTGTTCTGCACGTTTTACGTCTTCACTGCACAGCGTTCTATTTCCATCGATTCTCTTAAATAATCCGCTTGTTTTGATGGTGCAATTTGAATGCAGTGTTATAGTCATTGGCAATTGCAACGCTAGTTGGTAAACTTCACTGTAAAGGAACTAGCGAATCAGGCTGTAACGAAGCGCTAGGTACAATTGTCAAATTATACGGTGCTTTCCTGCCAACGATAGCAGCAAAGGCGATAATAATTGACGATAAGGAAGAATTATCTGGTCGATCACAACATGAAAAAAAGTGGGACTCTATAACGTCTGACAAATTTTGCATCGAGCCAATTACTGAGTTCGACCTTGTAAGTCATTTTTTAGTAACTTGGCAAGTACTAAACCCACTCATAGTACAAAAAACACAAAAAACTTCTGGACTTCTAATTAGGTGACGAATAACTTAGACAATTGGTTAAATAAGGTTCCTGGTGCGAATCATGATCAGTGATTGCAACCCAACTTGTTTAAGCGAGTTCCTTAATATCAAATTTCAGAAAGTGATGTTGAACTCGTTGTATAACTACTCACGAGAGCAGCACCTTCAATTTGAAGCCGAAGCAGGACTCGCTATCAGGCGTGCTCTTATTGAAATGAAAAAAGAAAAGCAACCTCTCGCAGAGCAATAAGCCTCTATTTGTCTTCTTTTTTTTTTCTTCAACTTCATTTCAACTTTCAAATGCACTTCTGCCAATTCAAAACAATGTAATCCATATAAATTTGGAATGTGACCCTCTTTAGTTCCAGTGCCTTTCTCTTTAAAATTGGCTTTGCTTTATCATAGTAGATCTCTTACAAATCATCTCATTCATTGTTTTTGTTCCTTTGTCACTTGCTCATTATTAAGATCGAATTTACTCAACTAGAAATTATATCAGGTCAGAATTTTTTGTCACCGTACTATGGAGTATTCAAAAATCAAATAATAAAACAGTAACAGTTTTATCGTTTTATGGTGAAACGAACAATAAATGGTAGCTATTCAACAAATTTATTTGCTGCTTTTGCTTTGTCTTGCCGACTCTGACTCACGACGGGATGCTGACGAGCGACGGCGAGCAATCTTAGCTGCTTGTTTTTCCTAAAAAGCATTAAGAAAGATTCGTAAATTTTTCGAATCAAACAAAAGAAGGCTTGGTAGGTTGGCATTTACGAATAAAATAATTTAAAATTTCGTGACCTACAACTTTTAGCAGTAAATCATGTAACTGCCCAAACTAAAACTCTAGAAAAAACGAAAATTATATTAACATAGACAAACCTTGGAATATTGCGTCATCATCTTATGATATTGAGCTTCTTCCTCGCGACGTTTGACACTTCGCTTAATTTTCATTGCCAAACGTCTTCGTTTACGTTGTAACACAACCGGTGTTATTAGCCGCTGGATCTTTGGTGCTTTACTGCGTGGTTTTTTACCTAAAACAGCAGGTTCATTTCCAATCCTACAATGCGGATCTTTATGCACATGGAAACCGCTGAATTACCTGTAGACGAGCGCAGTCCATCGAGTGAAGGTAACTCATCTCAGGAAGACTTTATGTCCACGCCGATACGAGTAATAATTCAAACTACATCATCTAAAGTTGCGCGTATAACAGGATTTTTTAATACAATCGCCAAATTACAAAAATCAAATTTACCTTCTTTTTCGGGCAGTTTCCGACGGATAACATACTTCCTAACATCATCATTCTTCGTTAGATTAAACAATTTACGGATTTTAGATGCACGTTTGGGCCCTAAACGGCGAGGAACTGTGGTATCTGTTAGGCCAGGAATTTCCTGTTCACCTGAAATAGATTTAAACGTCCGAAGGAGATCTAACAAATTCTCAAAAACTTTCTGAATTTCTGCAGCAAATGCAATAACTCGATAGCATGGATAGATGGGAACTCCTTACCTTTCTTTACAATGATTAATGCAAGGGCAGATAAATTAGCGTCAACAATACATCCACGTACTGACTTCCGCTTACGTTCCCCATCTCGACGAGATCGGTAGCAAGAATGTCCTTTTGATAGCAATAAACGCACACGTCCATTTGTTAAAACACCTTGTTTCATTGGAAAACCTTGCTTGTCATTACCACCAGTTATACGCAAAACGTAACCCTAGAATAATATAAGTTTTTCCTTCTCTTATTTACTGTCACTGGAAGTAGCAGGACAATGATGCAAAATAACAAAACGTATATCAAAAATCCGAATAACTATTTCTAAAGTTGCAAAACTGTGGAACGCACAGTACACTCACTAAAACGCTGAACAAACACTGCCTTGAAGTTAAAAAAAAAAATGCATGCAAATATCTTTGGATTAAAGAACCAAGACAAAAAAAGTGAAATAATGGATCACAAGATGACCACTCAGAATACCTTCCATTCATCGCCCAAAGCATCCGCTTCTACTTCTTGCGCTATCCTTTTTTCATAGAAAATCCGCAATTTTTTCTCATCATCAATTTCAAAGACCTTCTGACAGCCAGTAGTCGGGTATGCTATATTCAGTTTCATCCCTTTTCCCTCTAGGATTGCTCTCCTGAAATCATACATGCACACACTGAATTACATCTAAAGATTTCAAATTCAATAATTTATCTCCTTCCTTTATCGGTATCCTTGAAACCTCTGAACGTGAAAAACAACATTCATCCTTATACTTGAATATGTATGTTTTCAAAAAAAATTTGCATTGCATGATATAAGAAGACTGGAAGGTATCCTTTCAGAAGCTACAAACAAGCCCAAAAAACAAGGCCATCGAACGATAACGATTGCAGTAAGCCTATACCGAATGACTAACACTCCATGGTTTAGAGAAGAAATAAAATAATAACTAGATTGAAAGCCCAAATATTCTTTTCCCATTTCATGGAAAGGATTTCAAGACTGGGAGGAACATAAAACGAAGTTGAGGACTTGAAAGCTGCATTTGACAGGAATCCATCAGCAATGAATGTTTCTCCAGAAAGGAAAAACCATGAATATCCGTTACAGTTGTCACTGAACTACTAATAAACCCACGCCCACGCATCCACCTACACACACAACCACGAGTCCAGTCAGCCTACCAACTCCTGAACTATCTAACATCGTGACATAACAAATTTCGGGGACTGGGTAATTGTGGAGGCGAATGATGAGAGAGAGAAAGAGAAGGTTACGAAATAGCATTGATGTGGTGCAAAGCAAAGGCGCAGAGATTATATATTTGAAACATACGCCAGGTAGCCAAACGTGAGGGCTATATCCGAAAGAAAAAAAACAGCAAAGGAAAGGCTGGAGAAGAAAGAGAAGTAGGAAAAACGAAAAGGTTATGTGCTTCGATTTCAGTCATTGTTACACAGACTGGAAAGTACGAAAATGTTTTCCCGCAGCATAACAATTAGTTGTCAATGATGATGTAATAACAATAGGCTTGATTGTTACATTGAAGTGGTGTGCAATTAGCGCTGATAACAATTGTCACATGAATGAAAGGTGATATTTATGGATAAGTAATGCTTTTATGCATAGAAATAAACAAACAGTATGGATATTGATGAAATAAAATTTGAACTTCATTTATAAAATTAATATGCGCTATCTTTTTTTTCAGAACATTCAGTAAGTAAGGATCAGTTGGTTAATTCGTCGGCATTTCAACAAAAAAAGAGCAAAAACTTAATTATCCTATGCTAGCTGAGTTGCTGAATTGCAATAAATAGTTTGGACCGATTGAATCTGATTTTCCATTCTTTTCAATTTATTCATTTCATTGCTTCCTATTAAAACCATCAATTTTGTTATATAATTTATCTATTCGTCTCATTTGATGAAAGGGAATATATACTAAATATATTTAAGTATTTCAACAACGATATATTGGAACTTATGTATCAAAACATTCGAAGACTAGAAAAATTTACATGCAATTTGCTAATGCAAATCAATTTTTTCACAGAGCAACAAAAAACCTACATTTCTTTTCATGAAGGTATTTTTATTTGCTTTATGTAAGAACACGCTAAAGCAATGCTAGGTACTTTTTTCACTGCTTCATTATTTTATATGATTGATCTATTTTTTGGTGATAATAATTCGTTCATAGGTACTGGTTAATACAATACTAATATATGAGTTAGTTGTTAATGACATTCATTTATTTATTAATAAGTCGCTGATACTTCATCAATGGTGGATAACTTGATATTGTGCTTATCTGACAATGAAATATTTCGATCATTTGTTTGTTCCCTGAAAAATAAATTCATTTAATACCATAAAACGATCAATCCTTAAATATTAAGGTATTAAGGAAAATATTGCAAATATTTAATTTCAACAAATAAAAATATTCTGTGTAATCTTCTATGTAAATAGCAAAAATAAATTGAATCCACTTTTTAATGCCACCTGGTTTCTCATATTTGTAGCCTGCTATGCATCTCACCAACATTCGTAATTCGCTAACGATATTGATAGTTTACAAATTTATAAATTAATCTTTACCTATTAAATTTTTAATTTTTCAAATTCTTTTATAACATAACCGTTTTCAATATTATTT